ACTTAGCAAAATTAGTTGTCTTAAAGGGAATGTACAACATTAATTTTTGCTTGCTGCAATTTTCAGAAATAAATGGATTTTGTGGATTAGTATGTTATAGCAAATACTGTTAAAATTGACTTGCTTCACGTTTTGGGTTCGGAGATGCTGGAAAATCCAAGAAAACCAACAATGTTCTTGTAGTCTGGTTCCCTGACCCTCTTAAGATGAAACGGGGCAATTTATAGACTTTGGGGAATTGTAACGTCAGAGAATCAGTCTAGCTGGCTTGTACCTCTTCACAGGTGTGTAATCAATTGCAAAGAAAATAGGGAATAACTAAATATGAAAAAGAAGATGCAGTTTTTGAAAACAGCCAGTTTTCTCCAACCCTGGTCGGCCGACCAGCGTTGGAAAAATACAAGTTTTCTTGAAAAGGTCAGCAAACCAGGAGCCACGATTTTACAGGATGCTTTGGACTATCATTCCCTAACAATCCAGTACGATATTTCGTGATAAAAATTTTGATCATTTCGTGTTTTGATGTTTGCAAATGTTGTATCTTCCCTTTAAAACAGGTTTAGTTTACAGAAACTTAAACCGATTATCCCGTAGCCGAAATGAAAAGCGGTTGCAACCATAGATATAGAATAAAAAAAGACTAGATCGGCAGCGCGTGCATACGCGCCATAGAGTGTGCACAAATTTTCCCGTTCCCGCATGGACGCTCTACGCGCAGTAGTGGTTTGTGCACAAACTTGCATTTTTATGTCCGTAAAAGTAACATTTTTGACCAGTAGTTATTATGTATCCAGCAAAATTCAATATGCATTTTCAAGCTGGATAGTCACCTCGAAGTTTGCTCCATTTTCCCCTCGTATTTATTTTTCGTTTCAAAATGGTGGTGCACGTTGCTAAAAATCTCCAAATAAATGTCAGCTTATCTGATAAAATGTGTATAAGACATTGTTTATGAAAAGGAAAACTCTACGTTTTAAATTACCGATGAATCATTTAAGAAAATTGTGAAATGTTTCAATGGATATTTTTAGAGATTTGTGTTACAATTATTATATTTTTGGGATGAGAACAATTTACTTGGATTGCATTATATAATTATGTCTAACTTTTAATGACAATAATATTGCCCCTGAAAACCGTTTTAAGAATGAAATTAAATTACACTCCCGTTGTGTTCCGGACTTCTGAATAACCTAATTAACCCCTCAAGTTTATTTACATTGTGCTCTACTTTTAGTACCCATTTTGTATAACATTGTGAGATTCTTGCGCCTTCTTGAAGATTTTCAGATGCTGGATATGCCACTAGAGGTCCAGAGAAAAATAACACAAATTTATTTGTTCTATTTTGTTTGAAAATAAGTTAGTGAAGGGCTGAGGAGGGGCGTGCATCCCCGGCCCTCAGTATCCAACAGTACAAAACTGCATCCGATTACGGCGTATGTCATACCCTGAGGAGGGACAATGTAAAAAAAAAATGTCTGGGTGTTGTCCCGTGAAGCTGCCGTGAATTTAAATTAAAGGACAGCGCAACAACTACGGAAATAAGACGTTCAAAATGATCATTGTTCTGTTTGTTGATGAAGAAAATAACACTCAAACACCTGGATGCAAGTTTTTTTTAAGCAACGCGCACCAGCATTTTAAAACGGGAAATAAATACGAGAAATAAAATGGACCAAACTTCGAAATGAACATGCAGCTTGATATAACCCATTTTGAATTTTGTTGAAGAAATTACTACTACGGGTCAAAAATTTGGCGGACATAAAAATATGTCATTCCATACAAACCTACGGAAAAAAAGGTGCGCGTAACGCGCACAACTTTTGCCCCACGTGCTAAAAAATGGCGCCGCCCATGGCAGAACGCGCGTCTGTACGCACTGCCGATCTAGTCTTTTTATTCTATATCTTTAGTTGCAACGTGCAAGCGGGCGTGAGCGCAGCACGTAAATACTCGGTGCGCATTTCCAGCTTCACGCGTGTTCAGCTAGGTCACGTGTAGTCTATGTTATACGCGTGACCAGATTCGCTGATTAATTAGGCAAGACCCCGCCATTTGACTTCCTAGATTTTGACCAGTCAGCGGGCGCTTTCTATATCGGGTCTTCGGTCATTCACCCGTTGCGCGTCATAGACAATGGATAAAAAAAAGTGTGTCACGCGCTCTGTATCATGTTACGCGATAACGCGCCCGGTTGCTGTTGAATTACAAAACACTCAGCCTCGACTCCATGGGTGCGTGCCTTGCACACGCAAGGCATGATGGGAAACAACATTGCTCAGCCTAGATCTCGTACCTATGGGAACGAGGTTGCACTGCATTCGAATTGACCAATTTCAAATTGACCAATCAAACCATTTAGTCCTGATTTAGGAATAAAATGACGTCACGATTTAGTACAGTCGACTCCGATTGGCTTGCGCGCGGCTAGACATATCAGACGTTATAGCCTACAGGAAACTTGCTCTGTGCATAACGGGTGATACTCCGACTAGGTTACGGAGGGCAATTACATTTGTTATCAACCTCGTCCCCAGTGCTTACTTTATTTCCAACCTCGTTTCCAATAGTAAGCCCTGGATAGGAAACCTTTCTTCCTGTTTCCTGATTCGATACCGCAATTTGCTAGTAATGGATTTATATCGTGTAGTTGGTGTTATTTGTATGTGATGCAGCAACCCATTGCTAACTTTTGCACCACATGTATGCATATGCTCTGCAATACAGTGTACTCACACATACATGTACGTATAATACGCGTGTTGTACAATGTACATGACAGTGTGTGCGCATTGTTAAACGGCACTGAAGTGGAACCCCTGCTGAAGTTTCTTCTGGAAAGATGTAAACTAAGTGATTATTTGTGAGATTTTTTTTAAGATACCAACTTCGAGCAATTAATTCCGACTTGAGTCAAGTCTATATTTTCATTGGCCTAGAACGATCTCGTGTTTAGTTTATAAAAAAAGTCATAGTATACAAATATTGAGTGGATCAGCGTGGAATGGGAGGAATATTATCGCAAGGTAAAATCTGGACTTTTCCATTTCACGAGGCGAAGCCGAGTGAACTGGAAACGCGTTTCACTCGTAAATCGCAGCGAACTTGCAGACGATCAGCTGTTTCGAGCACGTGACATGCATGTGAGTTGATGTTCAATGGTCATGATTGTTGTGTTTACTGCTGTTTATTTTCGTGATTTTTACATCAAAATCCAAATAAATCCAAGACGTAGGTGTAACAAAACAATTGTTGACCGGTGTGATGTGGGATATGACGGGGCACATAGCACCGCCTCGGCTTTGCCTCGGGCGGGTGCTATGCATTATGCGCCCCTGGCCCTCGGGTGTTCAAAACGTCATATTTCACATCACACCAGTCATTAGCTCCATTGTTTTACGGTAATTTATTGCGCATCCACTAGAGACAACAAAAAATGGCGGAGATTTATCGCACATACACAGTGAATGGGCGCGTGTGGACGCGCTGCCGATGGTTCACGGTCTCAGTTTTATTCTATATCTATGGTTCACTACGTGCTGAATCACGCGCTAATGTTTTTTTGCGCGTGATGTTTCGGTACTAGACTCTATTGTCTATGGTCCGTAGGAAGTCGGTATAGGGCGCTTCGTCTTATACATTTGTATATTGCAAACGCTTTCACAATTAGATCTATATATTTAACGTTTATAATTGCAACTCGAATTCGTTCTATCCGCTCCGTGCACAAGTACCCCATCAACGGCCAGAAAAGAAGAGTTTGGGGATGATCTAGACTGGTTCCCTATTCATCCACTGCGTATTTCGAATGTCTCCAAAGTTATTGCAATGGAGGCGGAGATTAGTCTCGGAGACCATTGCAAGTTGAATTCGAATGTATTCGCGCGCCGACGACGCTCACGCGAAGACGCGGTTGCTATAGCTTTTGCACACTCAGGAAGTCGTGCGTACTTTGCGCACGAACCAGTACAGTACAGTACGCGCACGCTGTAACGCGCCCTCTTTGGTCGCGCACGGAGCCCATAAATATTGCGACCTCTCCCTTAACCGTCGTAGGTGGCGCTTCGTTTTATTGCAATTCTCGTTCATATATATTTGAGTTTTGTTCTATATATTTGAGTTTCTTTCTATATGACGAGTTTCCTAATGAAGTCATTAAGGGCGCCTCATATTGATGATCCTTTCGAGGGGAAAAAAACCGAGATTAACAAAAGAGAGTTTTTGTACGGGAAGTAATAGTACAGTACATGTACACGGTAAGTGCATTCGAGCACGTGGTCGAGTACAGAATTCATTGCACGAAGCGAATACAGATCCTTTTCTAGAATTGGGCTTTCAGTACTGGACTAATATGCCAGTTTGGTAAATAACAATAGCTTGAATAACGTTTATAGAAACCAGAAAGCGTTAAAATAATGACTTTAAATTAAAAGGGATATTTCTATTATCACTATTTTACACTCCCCTTTTTTTACGAATGGAAGAGGCACACAGACCACGGTAGACACTCGGCGCGGCTCCGGCCCCCCCCCCCCCCGACCACGGCACGGTATTTGGTCAATTTATAGTCGATTGTTGTTGGTCAATAATATTCGGGGACAGACCGACGGACACCCAGACCGCAGCACAGTGACATAAATAGAGATAGGACCCCTTTAGCGCTGCGCTGCGCTGCCAGAGAGAAATACATGTAGCTAGAATACGACCTCTATGGTTCACACAATGTGTGCACTTGCCGTATGCATGTCAGTGATGCGTATACATACGTAATATTGTACTTGTATGCGCTGATCAGACGGAATGCGAAAAAATAGTTCTCCCAAATTCATAGTTTTCGAGGATGCGACTTGAATAAAAAAACAGTATCCCTGTGTAAATCTTTATTTTAACGTTTCTGAAGTTTTATGCTTAAATATCTTCGTAATTTGATTTTTATTCAAACTTAAATTATCAATTTAAATTTCATCAGCAGTGAGCGGAAGAATATGATTTACAAGAAATCTCAACAAAAGCCGTGTTAAAGAATAAAGATGTCTGCCAGCTTGTTGTGTTTCGTGTGTTGATGAATGGCATGGTGTGCAAGTTCGTGTGCATTCTGTAGATTTCACAGAATTATTGATCGCTTCTGAGTTTTTGATTCATATCAAACGCACCATATCATCGGAAATAAGGCTTGCAAAGTTATGCGTTGTGAGTTTTGGCTTCTTGACCTGCGGGATCCGTGGCTGTAAATATTGTTTCACACAGGTGAGGTACGGCGGGTAGGCCCCATGCAGTATGAACGTTACTTCGTTAGCATGGTAAACTGTTACTTAGCAGCATGCCATGGTTAGGAATGGGATGTCATGGGCAATGATTACCGTCATGACCGTAGGCCTAGCCCTCTGGTCCCACAGATGACATGTGTAAAACAACGGCAAATGTTTTGGCGATTGTGTAGCGTAGCCAGGGCCCCGTACTCCGTACCACTACTCCCACTAGTCATGCTAGTACAGTCGTTTTCCTAGTTCCGGATTTTTCCTAGTTCCGGATCGCTTCAAACGGCCCCTACCTCTTTTTGATTAGTCTCCAACAAAAAAAATTCTGACTGAGTGCATGTTTGATACCCAAAGATCTTTTCGATAAAATCTTTAGAAAAGGAATTTTGGCCAGATTTCCGACTCGCACTCTGATATGTTTGGACGGTTTAAAGAAAATCACGGGAGCTGCGAATCAACGATAAATTTTCTCCTCGGTATATCTCTCGTACCGTGTGGTTTCGAATATTTTTTTCATTCACTACAATCGTATAAACTCTTCCATCGAATGTTTGTTCAATCAAAATAAGTTGTAGCGTCTCTAATATTTGAAAATTCGCCAACGAATGACCGTATGCTTTTGCCTAGTTCCGGATCGCGCGTGCACTTACGACCAAACTACACGCGCGTTCATCGATTTTGTGTTACCATGGTGTGATGTATTCTGCTGGGTCAAAGATTTTCGGTTCGTGCGTGAGTTCGAGCCGTTGTGCTGCAGACAAAAGTTTCAAAATCATTTACGTTTTTTCTCTTTTTAAAATTTGCTGGAATTCTCTTGCATGAACTATTTTTGGATAATGAAATAATACTTTATCAGAAAATATGTTTGATTCTGTTGGTTCTGGCTGAAAAAAAGGGTTTTCTCGCGTGATTTTGTTTTTTCGCATGAAGCAGTTTTGATCGATTCGGAACTGATTGAACCGATCCGGAATTAGGAAAAGTGACATCAGCACTTTTGACGTCGTAAAAATCAAAATGAAAAGAGCTTAAATTATTTTGTGGTCTCTCCATCACTCAAGATAAACTTTTTAATCAATGTCACTTGAATTCATGGAGTAGTTGAGCCGAAATCAGCCTGAATGATGTTTGCTATCCGGAACTAGGAAAACGACTGTACCAGTACCACTGCCACTAGCACTAGCTGACTTCTCCATCATGATTCATGTCCATGTTGCTAGCACCTAGGCAATACCTAGCCTCATAAATGTGGCCAATTTACTGGACTACCTCCGTAAATAAAGGCCACACTTGGAACGTGTACAAAAACATGTAGAACTGTGTCAAATTTTGATTTTCACATTTTGATTTAGGCTTAGTTTGTAGTTTATTTTTGCTTTAGAAGCATACTCACCCTCTTATAAGCTTATCAGAAAGTGATGCCTTTTTCAGATGTCTATTTTTCGTGAAATTTCATGTTGAAAGTTTGATACGCAAACGTGTGCAAACGAATCTCGAAATTTCAAAAAAAATAGACATTTGAAAAAGGCAGCGCTTTCTGATTAGCATATGGGCTCCGTGCGCCAACGAAAAAGGGCGCCCTTTTTACCTAGCAACGACGTCCCATGGGCGGGACATTTAGCTGGGTGACGCGCACTGTTCCGTGTGTGTGCCGCACGTACACCAGGGGATTTGTACTATGTACACGCAGTGGTACGGTCGCGCGTCGCGTGGCAAAATTGCATTCAGGCAAGATGGCATCGGTCGGTCACCCCATACTGTACTTTCTTTGCCGGTGAGGGGGTACTTGTGAATGGAGTGGATAAAGAGGGTGAGTATGCTTCTAAAGCAAAAATATACTACAAACTAAGCCTAAATGTGAAAATGAAAATTTGACAAAGTTCTACATGTTTTTGTACATGTTCCAAGTGTGGCCTTTTTGCGGAGGTAGTCCAGTAAATTGGCCACATTTATGGGGCTAGGCAATACCTTGGTTGTGTACAAAGTCTGTGGAGAGTGGAGTGCATTTTTAAAGTCTCTTCGGAAAAAAATGTTGCAATCTGATGCCACTTAGCGGCGGTTGTGTACAAGATGGAAAGCCAAGACAATTTTCCTCGGTGATCCATGGAGCATTCTATTTTCCCTCGGCTTCGCCTCGGGAAAAATAGAATGCTTCATGGATCACCTCGGGAGGCTAGCTTTACTAGACCACTCGAAGCAGTCGATATTTGTATACCATAGCCAATACCATAACCATAGCTGTTTTTGCAATAACAATATCCGTTGAAAATTGCGTTGTGGTTACCAAAAAATAGCTACATGTACTAGGTTTGTGTAAGGATTTGATCCCATTACCCACTGCATGGCTGTCCGACATGTACCCATGGTGGGACCTCATAACCCTAAGGGAATTGATAGACACTTGGCACTGAATGGATGATTTCCCTCACTGCTGGAGGTGATGCAGTTGGAGCTATGAGCATGCAATATGGTTTTTTAGCAGTTCTGGGCCTTTCCACACTAAAGGGGTACAAAAGTGTGACATGGGATTGGGAAATGAAGCAGGATGATAATATCAAATTGTTGGTCCTATATTCCACTTGTACATTCCCACCCCATCTTTGAGGACTGTGCTTTTAAAGAATTTAAGACTTTACAGGCAAATTCGACAAGACATTTATGCTCACAGTGCTACGTACATAACATGGACAGAAAGTTTGTTGATATTGATAGAAGTTATAATTAGAAAAAATGTCCTTATCAAATATTGTGCCTTTTCATTTTAATCCCTACAGCATTGTTACCTGTAAAAACCCAGACAATTAACTGTTTATTTCAGATGTCACAGGGTATTATGTTCAGAATATTACGTACGTAACATGGACAGAAAATTTTTACGACATATCTGTCCATGTTACGTACGTTACATAAGTGTCTTAAAGACCAACACAATTGTGTTCTTTGTGGCTGTTAGCACTCCTAAATGGGTTATAAATATGAATAAGATGACTTTTGGTTAAATTCATGCACATGATAATTAGTGTTGTGTCAATTTGTAGCAAAAAATCTGTCTTTTGTTACGTATGTAATTTTTACGCTGACCCCTGCAGTTTCTAAAGTTACATAGAAGGTTTTCTATATTGTTTGTACACATGATCATTAAGGCCTCAGGAATGCGCAGGAAACAACTGAACAGAATATCTTGCTTTGCTGTACCCTCCAGTGTCCCCCTTTCAAATCCCAAATTTGCAGTCAATTGTACCCTGTTAGTGTGGAAATGCCCACCTACAAGTAACTCCATCTTTGTGCAAGTTCACCCAAATACTGTATCAAGTTTTTGTGGGCATACACGACTTCTTGGTACATGTACCTCACATAGCAGCTACAGCACATGAAGCTTCATATCTTTTGAAAACATTTGAGAATATAAAGAAATGTTGAAATGTATATTAGATAAAGCAATATAAGACACGCAGTATCAGAATGTAGAAATGTTTAAAAGGCATTGATAAATAAAGTCACCATGTGATTTGAAATTGATGGAAAAGGTAAGTCTTGAGATGAAACTTTGTGTGTGTTTGTCATGGGGACGTCTCTATAGTCCGAAGTACCATTGGTCCTACGTCCCATTGGTCCGACGTCCCCTTGGTCCAACGTCCCATTGGTCCGACGTCCCATTGGTCCGACGTCCCATTGGTCCGACGTCCCATTGGTCCGAAGTCCCATTGGTCCCACGGCCCATTGGTCCGACGTCCCATTGGTCCGACGTCCCATTGGTCCGACGTCCCATTGGTCCGACGTCCCATTGGTCCGACGTCCCATTGGTCCGACGTCCCATTGGGCCGACGGCCCATTCGTCCAATGTCCCATTGGTCCGACGTCCCATTGGTCCGAAGTCCCATTGTCCGACGCCCCATAAGATTAGGGTTAGGGTCAGTCAACCTGAACCAGTGGAACTACAGAGTATTATGTTTCGTAGGACCAATGGGACTTCGGACAAATGGGACATCGGACCAATGGGACGTCGGACCAATGGGATGTCGGACCAATGGGACTTCGGACCAATGGGATTTCGGACCCATGGGACTTCGGACCAATTGTACTTCGGACTGTCGAGACATAACCGTTTGTCATGCCAATTTAAAGCACATTGATGTGCAGCTTTCAATGAATAAGGTGTGCTCGTCAAAAATCAAAAAAAAAAAATCAAAACAACAAACAAACAAAAACAATACAGAAAAAAACAATAAAAATGTACACTAGTTAAAACCGAAGAAATTTTTATGTTTCCGGTAATACTGCCCCCAAAAAGGAAGGGTTGGTCGGTACATGTAGGTATTTTTTAGGTCCAAACAGTTCATGTACACGTGTACAAATGTACACAGTTCATGTACTTTCTTTTTTTTGGGGGGGGGGGGATGCTAGCATTTGTGTTCATATACCCAATTAAGATCATAATCATAAAATCATAATCCCTCAAAAATGTCTCTTTGTATATTCAGTTATTCGCCGACTCATAATGCCAGTCAGAATAACTGCTGAAATGCCAATACATTTAAACATAAACAAATGAACAGCATGTGATCTATGAATACACTGTGATGCATGGAGAATGGTACATCATTTACTACTTTGATACTCTTACTAGTTTAGACTTCAATTTTTTCTTTTTTTACATGTGAAAAAATCTTGGTCTACCCTTCAAAAAAGGATCTCATCAAAATTATTTTTGTTAAATTTTTCTTTGTATTCTGGACAGGCATTACAGTCAAGATGCAGAACTCTGCACCAAGGATGCCTGGTATGGGACCATCTGACAAAGAATTGAATGACTTATTGGATTTCAGTGCTGTAAGTTCATTGATTTAAAGCATGTATGTACCATGCAAAGTATATTTCAGTGTATCTTGAAAGCATAGCTGGAAAGTTGCTATAACAAACATGGGGTCAACAAAAAGAGAAATTTGTCATTGACATGGCACTCTGAGTTTCCAAGTCGGCATCTGTATTTATCTGTTTGTGTACTTGGTTTCAAAAAGGCCAGCATGTCCTTCAAAAAAGCCAATAATGAGGTTCTCATAAATATTATAATGCTAACTTAAATTGAAGGAAAATTCAAGCCAAACTCACGAATAGCCATGTACTTATTTTTGTTTTACCAATACGGTATACATGTAGGGCCTACTGTACATTTGGTATCTGTGTGCATAGACTGCATCTTGACCTGCCATACCATTGGGGGAGAATACTTACATACATGTACCGGTACATGCACAAGAACGTGGAAAACTATTAGTGAAACAAGTCTCTGAAATCTTTATATTGAAATTGTTTCAAATAATGAATACATGTGCTTTTTATGTTGTCAAACAGTAGTTATCGGCCTAGTCAGCATTAAAGTGGTCCCAGTGTTTTAGACTGGTTACCGATCATCTGTCCATTATCATGGTGGCCATAATAGCAGCAGGAATACCGATTTCAACATTTGTTTGGTAGTGTGAAGCTTCATGACACTCATGCATAGGTGTGCATGATGTTAATAATCAGCCTTCTTGACATCCAAATGTTAACATTTGTGCATACATTTATAATAGAACAGTTGATATTCAAGCTTTGTAATACAAGAATTTGTTTAAGGGGCAGTTCCACGGTGTCAAACTTTTTGGACAATTCAACATTGTGCATTATAAAAGTTATAATAGTGAGTTTTTACTTATGATAAACATATCAGTTAGGTTTTACGTGAAAAAGAAATTCATTCAACTTTCTTGTTGTAGTAGAAATCAGCTCAAAACGCCCTGGTGCCAGGCATACATGTACTCGGACAAATTGATTTTGTGTGTGTACAAGACACTAACCCTCCTCAGTGCTTCAAAATCAACCAGGCAGTTTCAGAGGATTTTGGAGGATTGAGACTAAATGGCAAAAAGTGTCAATTGATTTTGGAGGATGCATTGTTTTGAGGTCACAGGCCGTACCCTACATTGTTTATTTATGTTCAGCCATGCATAATTGAGTTTTTATACTGGATATCACCTGCACTGCTCTGGATATCATCCCAACTGTCTCAATGTATTATACAGTGATTGTTGAAGACCAAGCAAGAATTAAGGCATGATTTTGGAGGATTTAGGGTGCGTCCATTTTTTAGGCATGATTTTGGAGGGTTTAGATGGTATCCAATTTTTACATGGTGGCAATGTGAAAATCTTATTAAACAGTCAAACAACATGTATATTGCCTACCTCTGCAGTGCTAATTCTTATGAATCCAGTGTTGCAGTTTCCACAGAAAGGGTCTCAGATTTGAGTATCGTCATTATGTCATCTCAAGACATTTATAGTAAAAATAGGTAATTACATGTTGCGGTTCGAATGCAGTGTGGTCATTCCTTAATGTGTTTCCGTTCTCATGCCATTTGGAATGGGGGACTTTTTAGAAGTTTGGTGACAGCAAACACGCCGGTCCTTTTCCATTGTTTGCATCATTTTGAACATGCGCACATTAGCTTAAACATGACGCAAATAATTGAAAAGGACCAGTGTGTTTGCTGCCACCATGCTTCTCAAAAGTCTCCCATTATGTTTATTACAGACAGACAGTGAACAGGTCTTGCAAATGAATTTATGAGAAATTATGCCATACGTTCAAGACAAAATCAAATAGTTTTCCTCGTCAGGCTGTCATCATGTTATTAGTTTTGTTCTATTTTATTCAAAATCACATTTTCACAATATTTTATATACATTTCCATAAAAACATACTCAAAATAAATAGGTTACAAATAATCGAACCATGTTAATACATGGTTCAATTATAGTAAAATATGTATTCATATCATATACATCTGTTAAGCCAGTCGTGACTGCATTCTAGTTTGAATTTGGTATAGCTGTTAACCTGCAAGACTAAATACAGTACATGAACCAGTATGTAATGTTATACATGTACATGTACATCTTTTCCTTCAGTTTAATTTATGAAAAAAGTTCTTGTCACATTGCAGTGGTATACGATTTCTGTTTGTTTTGTTGTTCAATTGATTTTGGTTAAAATAATTTTCCCCTTAAACTTGAAGTGAAGTTTCAACATTAATACATATCTCTGTGAAAGAATTGAATGGGGCAAAAGAAAAAGGGAACCATTTTCAGTAGTCTAAAGAAGGTTGAAGAAAGATGGCAAATGTCACTGTGTATTTCCTTTCATTCTTAGAGGGTCAGAGGAAGCTTTTCTGATTATGATAATTGAAATGTCTGAGTCAGTGTCAACTCTCATTTCATACCGATTACCTTTACAAAAACACGGTATGAGAAAGGTGGGGATATGAAAGTGCTGCAGGCAATCTAGTGATGATAGTTCTACCAGTCACAGGGTTCATGCACATTCCTTGTGGCAGGTCACAGTCCACTGAGGTCAAGAGAGTTCATCTGCATCAAACACAGTCATTTCTTAAGACAGCAAAGTGAGGCTTCTAACTTGGGTTTTGAAAAGGCTTTAATACAGTGTTGTGGAATATAGTGTTTGATATAATGTTTTTGAAACTGAGGGGAAAGTACTGTGCAGGATGATAAATTAAACAGTATACAAGAACAACATACAGTGTACGTGGTATACCAGCATCCAATAGAACCAATCCAACATAATCATTCTTTAGAAATAACAACCCAGTTCCGTTATCTTGACCTTAAACACCACAAATTTGCCCATTGAAAATAACCATCACTTTTAAGTAGATTTTGTGTCATAACTTTGTAATGCATCATCTGAATTAGATCATTCCTTGCATGTTCTTAATGTTTATTGTTGAATTCCGTGTCGTAGATGTTTTCCCCTCCAACTGGTGCCGGTGGTAAGCCAGGAGGTAATACTGTACCCATGAGCCACTGTGGTCCAGGAACAGTCAGACCAGTGCGACCTACAGGACCAGTACGGTCAGCAGGACCAGGTATACCTCCAAGTCCAACTGGGCCAGCAGGTCAACCATCTAACTATAAACCTGGTGAGAAATATATCCATTTGTGACATCTTTTATCCCATTTTTGCCAATGCATAAACTACAGTGATGCTTTGGTCTTGACGCTCGCGAAAGGTGCAGTTTACACTGTAAAGCTATGCCCTTCAGTCAACATCCAGGATTGAATTTTGGGGTTGGTTTCTTTTATGGGTACATTTTACCTCAATAGGGTACGCGATTCGCTGCTACCCAGTTCCCTGATACCCGTAAATGCACACCACTAGATGGGTACCCACTAACTTAGTAATTAAGGTGGCCAATTCAAATTTATAATTCTTAGTACAGGTAGTTTTTAAATCTGATACGAGTACACAGTAGAACATTTCCCATGGTTTCTTTGGAAATCATTTTTAAGCTAACAGTGCGAAACATTTCCGTGGTGTGAAATTGCAATTCAGTGGATCATAAGCAAAGGATTAACCATCATTGCATGCTGTGCTGCTGTTTCAATCATTGTAACTGCAAATTCTGTTCGCAAGGCTAAAATGACGCAAGTGGTAAACCATATTCTGTGAGAGGGGGGGGGGGAGGATTCTACAATTGGTGCCTTTTGAAGGCCAAGCACAATGATTGAGGAAACATGGCCCATTTCTAAATCATGGGGATAACTGGGGGATAAGTTTTTTGGAGAAAATATGAAAACAAATTAAGTGCAAATTTAAGGAGCACTTTCTAGGGAAAGCATCCTTTTGGAGTTGAGAAACACTTTTGCCACAAAGTGATAATGGTTGGAAATTTGCAATTTTCTTGTAATTACCAATAGAAGGGATTTCAGGTTGCAAAAGTTAGGTCCTCAAATTCCAACTGTAGGAATGCTGGAAGTCATTCTAGTCACAGTTTATTTTCAAAACGTTCTTTAATGCTGTTTTGCACCCATCAAGACTACCTTGACCGTCCGATTGTACTTGTTCCCGTTTTACATGTTTTACGTTTCACCAATACATGGAGTGTTCTTGACTACGGTACATTTCCTGTTAATGTTAAGCCCACATTTACTCAAGCCTGTAATTAAACTACAAGGTTAGGAAGTTTAAAACATTCGTGAAAATGTGCTTTCATCTTTTACATGGAGACTGGACTTTTAGCCTTTACCGTAACACAACATGAGACAAGTGGAACCAGACTAATGTACATTTGCAGACTGCTACTTCATCCCCATTCATCGCTCACTTTACTGCTGCAAGGAAACTGTGTTTTGCAAATGAGGCTGTTTTGCACAAAATTACGTCATGACTAAAGTATGTTCTTCAAAAATGTTTCCAGTACACTCTGGGATAATAGAAAACCTACTTGCAAAGATAGAGTCTAGAACTTTAAACTTGGCGACTTGATTTTAAAGTGACTGGTAAGCATGGCGGCTGTCATGCAAAGTTTAGGGGCATGTCAGGCTTGTATTACAGGTTGGAGAGTGCATTTACATGTAAGAGGTCAGAATTTCCAGTTTAAAGCTTTAGCATTTTTTTTAAGATTCTGTCTTCAATCATAGTCCCTATATAATTTGATGATAAATACAGGGTATCAAGTTCAAGGAGGAGACAAGATCTTTCATTTGAGTGATGTGCCAATGAGATGAAATATGGTTTAGTGGGCTTAAATTATGAATTCTATATTTCATGCGTTCATACATACGTTGCGCAGGTGCCGACCCAGATTACATTAGTTTAGCCGAGCAGGAAACGCCTAGGTAGGTGGGCTTTATATATTATGCTAAAAAGATTTTTTTGTTTTATTTGTTTCTTAATATATGTATAAACTTGTACCAAAAATGGGCTGACAAACTGCAATGCGAGTTACTGTAATGCGAGTAACAAGCCTTTGTTTCTTACACATACATGTAGTACATGTATCTTTACCTGACTTTGGTCTAAATTATATATTGTCCACATTTATTGTAAAAATGTTTATTTGATTATTGCAGTTACATCTAAGGAATCTACTTAATTAATGACAAACACGTTATGGCATTTTATTTGTGTGTAATTTGAGTAACCACATTTCCAAAGAGAATCATGCTCAAGTGAGAGAACATAAAACTTATTTGTTGTCATCAGGGAAAAGCCTTGAATATTGGGTATGTTATTGTTAATGCAAATACCCCGGTAGATAGTCCAACAAGCATGAAGACTCACAATGTAAAAGGACCCAAAGTGTAATGAGAGAAAATCCTTGAATTGCCCACATACATTATGATTTATAATTTATTTTAGGATTTTTTTTCTTCAAAAACTTAGCTTGAAACTGTTCTCTTTATAAATCAGTTCAAAGCGCCACATGATGTACATGAAAACTCTTAGCAAATGGAGTCCTGAAGGAATTACACATGCAATTTATGTATGTTTCCACATACATTTACCTCATTATGGTACCTTTCTTCCTTCATTCAACGGAATTGTTTCCTTTCTTGAAATTCTTGTGTTATTCCCTGCTCAATCCAGGTACATGCATGTGTATGGTGCTTTGCTCACATTCTGCAAGCCACTTCAGCCATGCACAAGCCGTGGCTGATTCTAAAACTGTGGCTTAAAAACCTGAGTAGTGACAAAGCACACTTGAGGGTGTCAGCATATAGATTTGCCTTTATGTGTCTTTTTTGTCATGTTAATTCCTTCTTAATGGAGGGTGAATTGCATCAATTGGATCCCAAGGCTGTCCCTTGATTTCAAGAGCTCTGTTTTCTATTTCACACACATGCACAAGATTCCACATTTTAAGGGACGATGTGACAAAAATACCACTCATTCAGAATCAAAATCTAATACAAATCTGGGGATTTTAGACAGTTCACATTTATGTACCTTTGCCTACTATACATCCCTAACCTGCTAAATGCAGCAGAATGCAGTGGTGGTAATAAGGATGTGACTTTGCGTTTGATATTTTAAACATTTAGCAAATATTTTCATAATCGTTTAAATTATGTTTAAACGTTTAGCCATTCACAAAGGCTGACGCGTGCTCATTATGCCTGCAGACCGGTGTGATTGACATGATAAATCAACAATGGCAGCCATTGAAAACGTACAAACTTAATTACGTGGGTCCCGAACGTAATCAAGTGTTGAAGTGCTTTGAAGGTTTTGTAACTTGAATAGCTTTGAAAATATTGTTAATTATTTGTGCTACATGTATGTAGGTTTAACTCAAAGGAAGACTGCGTGAACGGTGAACGTAGGTCTCTTTTATATAATTAAGGTTTCGTTTGAACATTTGTGGAAAATTTGTGAATTGTTTTTGTTTAAACGTGTAAACGTCTCATCCTTAGCTGGTAACCATAAGTTGCACACTGAGCAGTCAACTCAAGTGCCATGTGTTGTGCTTGTACGGCACATACATGTAGGCTAGGCAACAACCAACAACGACCAAGCACTATTCCTTGCTGTATGAGTATACCAACCACGCCATGTACATGTAAACCATGGAAATGGCCCAAATGTAGGGAGCAATCAGCAATGTAACATATCATTGGAAGTTTGTCACCAATAATGGCTCTCGTCTTAGGCTCTGACCATTATCGGTTTTAAACCACACATTTTGAACTGCTTCATCACATTATTAACCCCTAGTTTAAGTACATGTAAAGTGCAGTTTGCTATACAAAATTTAACCCAACCACTAAGGCCAAACAAAAAAAATGGTGTGTTTACGGTAACCCGACCGACCTGGAATTTGTTCGGCCAAATTGCCGACCTCAAACTTTTTATTGCCATTTTGAAGGTTGATAATTGACAAATTTCAAACATTTCAAGTACTTTTAATTATTTGCCACGAACAAAAAACATTTTCCACACTTGAATCTGATCATGATTTGACACAAACATACCTGTGTTAACCGTGCGAAAATCGCGACGATCTCAAAACTTGAATTCTCAAACTACGAAGTACGATTATTTTTGCACAAACGCATCGGGGTACGCCTGGCTGGCCGACGGACGGCATGGTTCTCCCCACGTACAAACGTGCGTACTGCGTATCGGCCCGGTACGCTGGAATTGTGGCCGGCCTGATACGCCGACAAAAAAATGCCGATCACATTTTTGAGCCCCTGATACGCACAATATAATTATCATACACGCCATTAAAATGCACAATTTGATCGTTACATACGCCATTATTTCAAAATCTTGACCAAAATCCTGTTTTTCCGATGCATGTGTGATCAAAATGCACACGATGACGTGTTCTGTCGACCACCAGCAGCACCCAGCTAACATACAGCATGGTACACTGGTTCCCTTCGCCAGCTAACGGAATCAATGCTATGATGAAGGACCGGAACCAGTAACTACTGCCTCTCCGGTCCATACTTCGTATCATACAGCATGATGATGTAGTGGGCCGAAGTTGGATCGTAAAAATATTACCAAACAAACATCGCTGGAGAAAGAGAATTTCTGCGAATTAATTCACAGAATGTGATCTTTACTTTCTGTGTATGTGTTTTCCATTCAAATGACGAGATTGCAAAGCTCGAACTTGTGGCGAAACATCGTAGCGTGTTTCTGCAGTAGTGCAAGATTTTTCGGCCACGTGGGCCGTGAGCACGGCGCGGTGTTCGGCCAGCCAGGCGGAATGTTGGTGGTGCCAGCGGCCGTGATGTATGTTAAGCATAAAGTGGAATCACCGACCTCAAATATATTTTTAATTAGGTGAGGCAAGTTTTAATCACTTTTGATAGCCAGTCTTGATAATTTTCGTGGCGCAAATGAAAATAATCCAGGCACAAAATAAACATGATTCCTTGCTCTATGATTAGTACGAATGATGCTCCATTAATCAGCACCCCCGAAAAATTGGCGAAATAATTTTTCGACCTACTGACGCTATTTTGAACATGTAATCGGAAGCAAAATTTGTTTTTTTCTCCACCTTAATTTCTTAATTTGAAACTTAAATGTAAATGTAATTCATACTTTTCTATTTAGGAAGCAATGAAACACAGGTTGTGAAATGTTAATTTTTTTTTAAGTTAACAATTTAGATTTATTTTCTTTAATTACAAAAATATTAGTGACCTACAAGATCTCCTCTGAATTTCAAGGACAAATCTTAAGATAAAGACCCCCAGATTTGCTCTAAAATGCACCAGAGAGCTTCTAAAGTTCAAACATTTTCGGGTTGTTGAATCACAGCAAAGCTTCCCCCACATGTTTGAAAAAATCCTGGGGAGAACCCTGGCCGACGATACAAATTAATTTGGATTGAAATGTATCGATTGAATATCTTCAATGCTTGAATAGTGGTTTTATACATTTTTTTTGCGAAAGAACACGCATGGGCATGCAGAACTGAAATGAAAAAAAAAATTACAAAATAAAATTATTTCCCTACCTACCTACCTGGATTTTTTGCAGGCCGTTACCGTAAACACACCATTTTTTTTGTTTGGCCTAACAGTAAATATCAATTACTAAAGCAGCTGGTCAAAATGAATGCTTGCCAAAATGTAGACATGAACAGTTACATTCTATTGAAAGCTGTTCATTGGCAGTCACTAACTCAACATTTATGTTTGCACATGTACAACACTGAAAAGTGTTCCTGCACTAGACCAAGCATATTATGTGACGTGAAGTACAGTGTACAAGCAGTTATTTGTTTGTTTGAAAAGTGTTTTGCAGACTTCATGTATGGCAGTCATTGAAATTACAATTTCAAAATAGTAAACAAGTGCAGGTACATTAAATTCTTTGGGTACTTTCTTTTTGCTTACAAGTACATAAATAATGTATACGGTATGTACTTTAAAAATGGAGATCAGGGGTTCTTTTCTTATTCTCAGCAGGTTGTTTGCATTGAGCAACTTGTGAGTAGATTTTCTCAGATAGCATTGATATAGCACCAAGCCTCTAGAGATGATATCACTAAGCCCCTAGACATGAAAGGTTGGAGAGTAGTCAGAGATATTTATG